AGGATGAACTCCTCTGTAATAGGATCTCTGCAATTCATCGCCATGTTACGGAAACGCTTGACAAAATTGTCGACTGACTCTCCGTCTTTTTGCTTCTCATCCAAAAGAGTTCCGATTGACACTTCGGTGTCATCATCGAAGAAGTTGCTGAGGAACAAACTTTCCATGTCATCCCAGCAATTGATGCTCCCTGGCTTGAGCCGTCGGTACCAATCGAAGGCGGGCCCACGAAGGGTGCCAACGAATGACCGGATCATTAAGGCCTCGTTTCCAGAGATTATGCCCAAATGAGACTTGAAATAAATCAAGTGTTGAATCGGCGAACTCTTCCCTTCAAACGGTGTGAAGTTAATCAGATTGAATTTGGTCGGGTATGGTATTGAATCCCATTCCCTCGGATAAGGACATGGAATACCCGTCTTCTTAACTTCTTGAGCCGTCATCAAAGCATTGATTTTGTCTTCAAGTTTTTGCATTTTCCCGTCATCGTCTTCATTTCTTTCTGAATGATGTCGAGTAAAGATAATTGGACCACCCCCAGTGAGAGGTGCTATTGAACCACCCCCAATATCGTTATTGGGAGGATCCGTTAAACCACCCCCAGCGTTATTGTCATTGGGAGGTGTATCAGCCATAATGACTTCATCCACCTCTGGATCACTGTCCTCTACAACATTCCGAGTGTGGTGGCTGGATTCAAGTCGCTGATTGGACTCAGGAGGTTGAGGCTGTTGAGTTAACAGTTCTCTCATTTGTTGGATAGCCAACTTCATTTCTGTCTTCACTTCAGCTCTAATTTCTTCACGTTGTTTGGCTAGAGCTTCCTGAAGTATTTGAGTGAACTGATCAGCAGTGATTGTGAATACTTCTCTGATTTGTCCTGTGCTAGACATTGTATCATCAGAAGCGATTGCAGAATAAGTGTCCGAGAATTCATCCTCCGAGGACATTCCTTCTTGCATTCTCTTGTAGTCTCTGCGTCTGATAGCTCCTAATTGGAGTCGAGACATCCTTTGAGCAATTCTTGGATTGACTTTTCCTTTCGGGGAAAAGTCGGGATTTGAGTCACTTGAATGCTGTTTAGACTTTCTTCTATCAGCTACGTTGATGGTGACTTCAGGGAATTCATCATTTTGGGCAGCTGATTTTCTTTTGCGGAAATGTCTCAGCTTAGGCTTTGATAATGCAGAGACTTTTCGTGGGATGATTTCTCGTTTGAAACAGTCACATTCTGATAATGCTGTTTTGACGAGTCGTGCACAGGAACAACGAGAGTTTATCTCTCGAATAACTCTCTTTAGAAAATTATTCACAACCTCAACTTGATAATACGATTCATCGGTATGATTGCCAAAAAATCGTATCGTCTGTTGGTATGATCTCCCAGGTATGACGATATCATTTGGTGAATGCGTCTTCTTCTGGGGGTATAAAACCTTGTTGGCATTCTCAGGACAATTTATTTTTTGTCTTTAAGTGATCCAAGGTTATGTCGGGAGTCGCACGTTTAGAACCACCCCCTTGTGGGTATGGAGTCTTAACGGGCTCCGAATGCTGATTTTGCATAAGTCCAGACTTCAGAATCCAAACTTGGCGGAGTTTTGGTGATTCTTTGGTCACCGTTTCCTTCCTCCTTTCTCGTCTTTGTTGTAGGAGAGTTCGGACATGAGCAGCATTTGCACGATGTTTTTGTATACGTTCTTTGAGGGTCGAACGAGCCCTTTTGACGAGTGTCCATTCCTCCGTTGTGAATTGTGCAGAAACGTGAGTAGTTCGTCGTTGCGTTGAACGAACCACTTGTTGTTTCCTCGACTCTAAGTCCGCATAATAACGAACTCCGTCGGTTTGTTCAAATGCTTTAGCTATTTGACGAGCACGACGCTGACGCTGTCTCTGACGAGCTCTTTTCGTCAATGTCGTCGGGCTTTGATTCGATGACTCTTTAATTAGATAAGAGCCATTTTGAGCAGAGGTGTTGCGAGTGAAATTCTCAGCAATAATCAAGCGAGAGTCTTCATTTTGTGACTTCTTTGGCATGCAACTCTTCCTCAATTGTGAGATCCTCTTGTACTTGCGAGATAATGAAGATCTTGAAGAGGATGATGAGAGATATTCCTCAAACTTGGTCTGGTCGAATTCTGTAAAACCTTGTTGGCATTCTCAGGACAATTTATTTTTTGTCTTTAAGTGATCCAAGGTTATGTCGGGAGTCGCACGTTTAGAACCACCCCCTTGTGGGTATGGAGTCTTAACGGGCTCCGAATGCTGATTTTGCATAAGTCCAGACTTCAGAATCCAAACTTGGCGGAGTTTTGGTGATTCTTTGGTCACCGTTTCCTTACTCCTTTCTCGTCTTTGTTGTAAGAGAGCACGGGCATGAACAACGTTTGCACGACATTTTTGTATACGTTCTTGGAGGGTCGAACGAGCCCTTTTGACGAGTGTCCATTCCTCCGTTGTGAATTGTGCAGAAACGTGAGTAGTTCGTCGTTGCGTTGAACGAACCACTTGTTGTTTCCTCGACTCTAAGTCCGCATAATAACGAACTCCGTCGGTTTGTTCAAATGCCTTAGCTATTTGACGAGCACGACGCTGACGCTGTCTCTGACGAGCTCTTTTCGTCAATGTCGTCGGGCTTTGATTCGATGACTCTTCAATTAGATAAGAGCCATTTTGAGCAGAGGTGTTGCGAGTGAAATTCTCAGCAACAATCAAGCGAGAGTCTTCATTTTGTGCCTTCTTTGGCATGCAACTCTTCCTCAATTGTGAGATCCTCTTGTACTTGCGAGATAATGAAGATCTTGAAGAGGATGATGAGAGATATTCCTCAAACTTGGTCTGGTCGAATTCGTATTCGACCATGGATTCAACTGGAATCTTGATCGGCTGCGACACGACGGTCTCGGCAGCGAGACCGTTGGCTCCCACTGTGGTCGCCAGCTTGTTTGCGTCAAAAGTTGGTTTCGTTGTGGAATTCATTATATCTTCGGTCGATTACAATAAATTCAAAGAAAACAGCCTTTTTATAAGACTCTTTTACACAACAAAAAGAAAATTACAACTCTTGAGAAAATAAACGCAGGATCGTTGTTTGGATCACTGCTTTCGTGGGATCTTTGCCTGTGCCGGGAGCGCTTTGACTCGTGGACCACCAAATCACAGATTCTGATTGAACCGTGAGGGGTTTATGATTCTGACTTCGTTTATCGAAGTGAGAAATTGAAACGATATCTTATCGATGTAAGATAGTCGTTCTTCTTGAAATCAAGTCAAAGCCTGATTATCAAGGATTGGCCGTAAGATCAGCACCTCTGCTCTCTCTCTGCTCTGGATTGCTCTGGATTGCTCTGAAGTACTCACAATGATCAGCCCCCTGGAAAAATGGCCTTTGGAGGGTATTTATAACCTCCAAGAACAGTTGGCAGCTGCATCGCGACAGGGTGTTTGCGTCTCGCCCCAGCGAGACAGTAAATTTTGCTGTCTCGACCCTGAGCGAGACAGTAAATACTTGTCTACAACATTTCTGGGCAGTTTTCGCATGTAACTTCTTTTCCACGTTTCAAACTCCGTTATTTGAGTTCCACGTGTTTATTCTCTGCCCACCCAGGAGTTTTCCACGTTTCTTGAACAGTTAGTGGACCAGGTGCTAGGGCAGTTAACAGGATAGTTTTGACGCAATCTGGAAAGCGTAGCTCACGTGGCGAGATCAGTAAATCTGTCTCGCACATCTCGCCCGCGAGACAGTAAAGACTGTCTCGCACGGCGAGACAGTAAAGACTGTCTCGCACGGCGAGACAGTAAAGACTGTCTTCGCCCGCGAGACAGTAAAGACTGTCTCGCACGGCGAGACAGTCAAGTCTGTCTCGCATGGCAAGACATTCAAGACTTGTGTTCTTCTGCCTTTTTGGATGATTTCCTCTTGAGCTATATTTGGATATCTTTCAGCATTTTTTGACGCCTACAAAATACTAAACAACCATTATTAATCCATGACAGAAGTTTTTGGCGAAGATGCTTATCATGTACTATACAGTATTGTAACAATTTATTTATCATCCATGGTCAATTTATCATCTCAGGCATTTACTATAGTATTGTAACTAAACAACCATATTATTAGAAAAATAATTTTTTTTATCATCCTCGATGTGACTAGCGTGATGGATGGGTCATATAATCACTGTATCTTTTGATAGCTCATTTAGCTAAATAAGTTATCGTGTTAGAATCAATATAAAACTATAATCCCTCATAACTTCAGAGTTTTGATATAATGGTTAGTAGAACTTTCAAATGGTATCAGAGCAATCAAAGTTCAAATCCACGTTTCAACCCATACGGACGCTCAATGTGCGGGAGCTTGTTAGAATCAATGTAATACTATAGCCATTATCAAGAAGCTACATTAATAAATTATATAAAAAAAGGTTGAGAAGCATCATTGGTCATTACACAATTACATTGATAGTTAGAATCAGTTCCTGCAGAAAAACCCTCATCCCCCCCTTGGTCACTACTCGCAGTAGTTCCCTTGAATTTGAGCTTAGTTTCACCGAGCTTCCATTTTCATCATAATATGAATTAGGTGCCTTTTTTAGCATAATCTTGATGATGAACATCGTAGGTAGGACAAGGCCGACAGCATCGATAATTATAATGTTGGCAACAAACATTGCGATGAACACAATGAGGAAAATGATAAGAAGCATAAGCATAATGAGCCATGCTAGTGGCAGTTTTAGGGGCACATAAATGAGTATCGCGACTTTATTTTATTATTATATTGACTCCTGCCTGCTCTCCCTCTCTCATTTATCAGCTAGATAAATAAAATTGGTTATGTTGAAACAGAAGCAGAAAAGCTCCGACGAAAAAAGAACTAGGTACCGTAATCACAATGAACATCTAAGAAATACTAAGAGTTTTTATGAATCCCAAATCAGTTCACTCTTTTTTTTAAATTCAGAGTAAACCCATAAATTAGAATAGAGAGGCCAACATTCTTCAAAGAAGTTTCATACCATCAATTAGCATCATCAGTTTTAGATACTACTTAAGAGTGAACAACTTTTTTCATATTTGGATACAAGATCTATAAAAATTAAGAGCCATTAAACCATCTACAACATTAGCTTTACTGTACACTTTTGCAAACCAAGGCTTCAAAGGTCCGAGCCTTAAACAACAGCAAATGCGTGGTGCAGATAATCGCAACAAGTTCCGACTCTCGCATTTGTACTTCTTGCATACATGCATGTCCCCGGCTGCGAGCACAAAAGCCACCTGCCCTGGAAAACAGTAGGATCAGAAAAATTAGGGATGGCTACAGTACACATCTCATTCTATTCTCAATTACCAAATAACTGCAAAAAAATGCTCAAAACATGAATCACATAGCTACTTGGCCCATTTCATTTGTGATGCAGTACAAGTGAAAAGTGACGGCTAGAACGATGCATGATGGAAGCAAGAATAAAGAAAATACTATAGGATCAGGAAGTAATTTCATTCTCAGGTGAAAAAAAAAAAAAATCTTAACCAGGCTATGATAGATACTAAGGTTCCCAAAGAGCCTTGGTCAACACTAGAATAGAATACTCTTGACTTGAATACAATCTGACAGTTTTCCTGCAATGACTTGAATATAATATCCTCCTTATGAAAGTTAAATACAAGGACAGATGCTTTCCATCTATGCGTTCAGATGCTGTACCACATTTCAGTTCAGTGCCACAATAGTCTTGTAAATTCGTTCAATGAAAACAACCGCATTATGAACTAATACAACACATTTTTCGTACGTTTAGAGCCTCCAAGCAAAACACACGAGTTAGTGAGCAAAGGTACGCCATAGTCGACTTGACCCATGTGTGGCAAGCTCAAATAAGTGTTGAATGTTTGGTACTGCGTGTATGCAACATGCATAGTGGAAGCAATTTGAACATCTAAACAAAATGGTAGGGTTATTATTTTGGGCAGGTTTTAGAAGGAATTTAGGAGGATAATATATGCCAACTAGCCCCAGATTGTACTAAGCCTTCAACATGGGAATCCTTTTTTCCGTGGAAATGGTGGAGTTGTCCTCCTCTGCTTCATTAAAAAGAGTAACGAAAGACAAGCATACTGACAAAGTGCCTTCCTTAGTCCCTAAATAAAAGATCTCTTTTTAGGAGAGTTTTCCATTTTTCACTTCTTGGCTAAAAAGCGAGACTACGAAAAGGTCCTGCTGAGAAGTATCAGGTAAGTTACTGAATATTGAAAGAAATATGACGCATGAATCCCCTTTCTCTCTCTTTTCCTGGTTCTGCCAATCAGTGAGTGGAGGCATGTGGAAAGCCAAAATAAGGCTACAATATGAACAGACAAGACATACTAATAGATACATGCACACTCTATAATGCAAACAAAAAATGGAAGTTAGAATGAATTTGCAGGTTACTCACAATATAAAAACATCAGCAGCAATGAGTTACAGCTCACTGTAGTTGCGCCATACTGCACGGAATTCCTCCCGAAATGTGTTCAGCCGTGCTTTCAGATTTGGTGATCTAAAGCTGGCATGGAGTACCATTGCTGCAAGAGAGATCCTGAAGACCATGAGTCTAGTGAAAAAATTGCCTACGTTAAGAAATGAGCATGGCTTCACCCTACCAAGAAGAGCAATCCCAAGAGCCCACAAAACAGTCAGGAGGCTACAAGAGGTCAGCCACAGGATGCAACTGGCTGTGGAGATAAAATAATGGAAGCAATCAAAACAATGATTTAAAACCATTAGGATCTCCTCAAACAGGGACAAAGTTACAAAAAAAAAATAACCTGATGAGAATGCAAAGACAAACACCCAGCGAGGCCATCCACATATAAAAATTCCTTTTTTCGAAGATGGACGTCCACGGATAACAGGCCTTTGCAGTAGAGCCGAAAGCAACTTTAGTTCATAGCATTACCACAAGATAAAAGTGGCTACGCATAATAAAAACAACTTAAGTGCACTCACGATATAGGTGGCCTCATCTTTGCAGCTAAATGCGGAGAAAATTGTCTAACCATCCTCGTTACTTTTTCGTTAAAAGTAACTGCAAAGCTGCAACAACACGAATATTGTATCATAAACCAAAACATTATGGATCTAGAGCATTGACAAAAAAGTGATGCAAGCTTCAAGTATAATGTACATAGCTGGGTATTGCAAGGTAAATAGACAGAATATAAGTATCAATGACCCAACAGTAATTTAACAATCTGCCACACATATACACCTGTTCAATCTGAAGCTACGTTTGCTAACTAAAGTGGTGCATTAATTCAAATATTTTTAAAAAAAATTGAAATGTATTGTTAAATAGGGAATGGAACATAAATAAACTATTTCCAGGATTCTAAAGAATCAATGATCATCAACCATCTATGAAGCCTTTCCCAGCACAAGGGAATAATTATCGAAGTCACGTCTGCATACTGGAAGGCTCTCAACAAATGTTCAGACCCAACCTGACACCAAATCTTTCAAAGACAGTAGAATAATTATGATTTCTCCCAGTAGATTATTACACTTGTCCTCTTCCAGTTTCTTGGATATCCCTCTACTGCACATTACATGCAATGTACTTCAGGATTAACCTTAGTGGATAAGATTAGCTGAACTTCAACAAAAATAACAAAGCAATATACTAATATCTTTGCAAGGAAGAAGGTTATGATTTTTTGTATTAACCTCCAAATTATAAGTATTTGGAGATTAGATCTCCTCCCTCCCTCCCTCTTCAGCACCCTGGATCAGTAACCAAGATCAATGCAGGGTCTTCAACACTTGTGGATTTTGCAATTTTTTTCAGGGGAAACCTGACCATTCCAGTAAGTGTTAGATAAACTAAATTCTAATTTGATTGATCTTGCCATAGGCTAGTCGGAAAAAATGAAGAACAGAATTGGATGAGACAAGAGGGATGCAGGTTAAGGTTACAATTGGCAAGGGTCTCAATATGTTGAGAAGAGATGGAAATGTAACAAGGAAGTGATTGGGCTTCACGTATAAGTTCACAGAATGATGAAGAAAGGATGAATTAATAATGAGAGGGTTTGAGGGAGAGATATAACCATTGGCAAGGGTCAACTTCATGAGGACAAATAAGCTAACCGGAGACAACGTTCAGACTTAATAGAATACTCTACCTAGTAGTGGGGTCCGTCCAACTTAAAAGAAGGGAAACTTTCAAAAAACATAAAAGACTAGGGATCTAATTTTTAAAACCATGAAGATTTAGGGGTATAATATCAAGATACTTGTAGTTTAGGGATATGATATAAAAAGAAACAAATTATACGCCACCAAAATAACCTATGATTTCTTAAATTGAAACCAGAATGACAAGTGATAATGTAATATCCTAACATTAACTTTTTTATTATAAAATGCTTCGATTGATAAATTAAAGTAGTCAAAAGTTATGTGTATCAGTCTCCCAATATATTGTACTATATCATTAACTAATATATAATCATCCCATAATAATTATTATGCTTACAACAACAAACTCACAAGATTACGGACAAATAGGTCCTGGGTTTGGATCCAGAAGTCCCTCATATTGGGGTGACTAGAATGAAAAGAATTCCTCTCTCTCTCTCTCTCTCTCTCTCTCTCTCTCTCTCTCCCCCTTCTCTCTTTTTCCTATGTTCAAGGTTATAAGGCCATGAAGTAACTTCAAACTGTTTCCTACTAGTTTTTATCTAGATTACGGGAAGCCTTTACAAATGAAGCAAAGTAGAACACGATTGTTCTAACTCAAGACTACCCTCAGATCAGATCTGAACTTGTATGCCAATCCCAAAGAACTATCTTTCTAGTAAGACTTGATCTTAGAAGAGTGAATAATACTTGTCTCAATTACAATAACAAGAACAGCAACAAATCAGCCTAATAGATGGGGGGAATATATACTAACTTACATCATAATAATACAAGAACACAATACATTTCCCAATGCCTTGATATATATATATCAATGCATTCTACATTAAAACACTTCCCGCGAGGATATTACATTATCACTTCTCATAGTTCCGGTTCCAATCGTAGAGTAATCATAGATTATTTTGGTGATATGTAATTTGTTTTCAACTTACATGCATCAAACTTGACCTAACTGCCTCTGTTATTGTGCAATCAAATCGTCCGCAATAAATACATTTTCTTGCAAGGAAAAAAAATACTAACTTGAAGAGGAAACAATGAGGTTCAGAAAATTGGAGACGGAACAATTTGGAAGCTGCGCCGTCGACCGCGAGTGGCGCGGTGGTCAACCACGAACGTGCACAGCACAGGGAAAAGTCACTGGACTTTTGGCGGTCGACCGCGTCAACTGGCGCGGCGGTCGATCGCGAGACACTGTAATTGATTTTTGGGTTCTGTCGTTTGCCACAATCGACCGCGATGGGTTCGACGGTCGACCGCGGGTCGGGTCTGGGTCTGGGCCTGGGCTTGGTTTCCCGTTCTATTTGCGATTGGTGTTTGCTATAAATACAAACACACGTTTTATGGTTTCTTTGGCTTTGATTGGAAATTGTTTTGGGGATATTAGAGCACAGAAAAGAGAGATCTTTCAAAGCTATTGGTTAGGGTTATTGTTTGAGAGATTGAGAGCTTTGTTGGTGAGATTAGGATTGGTGAGATTGAGAGCTTGTTTCGACAGCACTTCTGGTGCACAATAAGAGAGTAAGATCATAACTAAATCCATGTTTCACAAAGGAAACAAGAACCGAAAGTGATATATCTCAACAAAGTGGGATATACACTCTTCCTCTCATCAGTTCAAGGACTGATTTATCGAGGGAACCTAAACAAGCTATTACAAATCACAGCAAGACAAACTATTTTTACGTGGTTCGACAAGTTATCTACGTCCACGGGGTAAGGAGGGGGAAGATCTACTATTAGAGAGAAAGAGAATACAAATAGAGTTTATAAACACACAAAGTCTCACAAATAAAACCCTCAAACAAGCTCTTAATTTCTCTCAAAAGGATGCTCAAACCCTCTCAAAGTCGGCGTTTTTTCTTCACTAAGAACAGCCAAAAAATCTCTGTTGTTTTCCCTTCCGCGCCGCTTTTTCGCCCCTGCTCACAATCCTAGGAGAAAGACGTTCCTATTTATAGCTGGCCCGCACGTGTTGAAAAGACACGTTCAATTCAACGCGCTTATCGGAAGACGCATCGTGGGGTGTGGCCCCCACGCTCCCACGAGAAAACGCGTCTCGTGGGGTATGGTCCTCACGCCCGCGTTTACAATTCTTCACATCGGTGAAGTTTCTCAAAACTGAGCCGACACCAAAACAACCAAATGTCCCACTTGTTGCGTTCAGTATGAAGTGGAATAAATTCCACGACAACGGACTCAATCCACAACAAGTCGGGAACCCGAACGAGAGTCCAAACAATCTCCCCTATCAAAATCTAACAAATCCAACCGGTTGTATTAAACATGACTGCCTATGTATCCTCTTGTCCAAGGAATCAAGTCGAACGTAGTTTACCCAAACGACTTCCAAAGGCCTCAATATCGAAGAATGTTTAAAAGCTTCAAACAATGACCAAACTTGATACGAGTCGCCGTGCGAGCACCTTTGATCGCGGAATTATCAAAGGTGGGTTGAGAAGAGGATGACAGAAACACAAGAATAATTCAGTATGTGGCGAAGGAAAATACCATCTCTAGATTATGAGTATGATAAGATTACAATCCCTCTCTCACAATCTCAATAGAATCGAGAACAAGCTCTTAATTCACTCTAAACCCTAATCTCTCTTGATTAGAATCTCACTTTGATTACATCTGATTTTCTCTCGATTAAAATAGATCTCTCTTAGACCTAATCTCCTTAGATCTACATCTCTAACAATCTCCTCTTCTTAGAAATCCTAAAACAATCCCTATTTATAGGGTTTACAACGTGGTGGTAATCTGGTAAATAATCAAAACCAAACCCAGCTAGGATTCCTTCAAAACAGAAACCACATCTGCCCAGGAAACCTCGACAAGTCGACTCATGATGGTCACATGAGTTGACTCATAACATGTCAAGTCGACTCAAAACGTGCACAAACTATGCTGGACTGCATGAGTCGATTCATGATTTTATGAGTCGACTCAGCAGAACGTTTTGCTATCTGGAGGCGATTTTGCAAGTCGACTCATCAACCCGTCATTCGACTCATCAGGCTGATAACTGAAATCTTCGATTCTTCGTTCTTTCGACTCGCTTCACACTCCATCCTGTGTTTCGTCGTGTCGCTTCACACCACTATTCTTAAGATATCATAAGAATTACCTATCCTCAAGCTCCTATGAGGATCACTAAGCTCCCGAAACAGAGAAGAAGATACACACGTATCAAAACTTAACACCTGAAATAACTTTGATCAATATATCCGTAGGGTTATCCTTTGTGTGGATCTTCTCTAATATGACATCACAGTCATCCAAAACATCACTGATACGGGTGTATCTTCTCTTCGGAACTTAGCGATCCTCATGGGAGCTTGAGGATAGATGATTCTCATGATAGCATGAGAATAGAGGTGTCAAACAGTACAAGAGAACGCAGGAGGAAGCGTGGAACGAGACGACGAGCAAAATCGAAGTATCCAGTTTTCAGCCTGTGAGTCGACTCATAACAGTCATGAGTCGACTCATCAGGTTGAGTCGACTCATGACTGTCATGAGTCGACTCAATGCTGGTTTTTGAGTTTTGTCCACTTTCTGACGAGTCGACTCATCTCAGTCATGAATCGACTCATCGAGGGTTTTCTGGTTCGTTTGGGTTTCTGTTCACACGAATTCCTGTTGGATTTGGGTCTGGTTATTTACCAAATTGTCATCCACGTTTGTACATCTATATAAGGGATTGTTTTAGGGTTTAAAACAATCAGAGAGTTTAATCAAGAGAGATTAAAAATTATAATTGAGATTTGGAGAGCCTGTTCTTCAATTCTAGAGTGAGATTGTGAGAGATTGTAAATTGCATACTCATAATCTAGAGAAGGTATTTTCCTTCGCCCAAAACCTGAGTTATTCTTGTGTTCTTA